TTGCCCTTTGATTTTAAATGACAGCTTTGCTGGGTAGAGCAATCTGGCTGCAGGTCTCTGCTTTTCATGACTTTGAATATGTCTAGCCTGCAAAGTTTCTTTGACAAATCAGCTGACAGCCTTATGGGAACTTCCTGTAGGTAACTAAGTTGTTTTCTCTTGCTGCTTTAAAGATAAAGAAAGAATCTCTTGGCATTTTAATTCTAATGTGTCTTCAAGTGGGCCTCTGCATACATCTTGTTTGGGATTCTCTTTGCTTTCTGGACTTGCATGTCTATTTCCTTCACCAAATTAGTGAAGTTTTCTTTCTTTGTTTTTTTTTTAAAAGATTTCCAGTTTCTTGCTCTTTCTCTTCTCCTACTGACACCCCTATGATGTGTTGGAATGCATGAAATTGTCCCAGAGGCTGCTTATACTAACCTAATTTTTTGGATTCTTTATTTCTTCTCATTGTTTGATTTATTGTTTTTTGCTTTCTTATGTTCCAAATCATTGATTTGATTCTCAGCTTCATCTACTCTACTGTTATTTCCCTGTACATTGTTCCTTATTTCAATTAGTGCATCCTTCGTTTCTGACTGGATCATTTTTATGCTGCTGAGGCCCTCACTAAGTTCTTTGAGCATCATTATAAACAGTGTTTTGAACTCTGCCTCTGATAGATCACTTATCTCCATTTCTTTTAGCTTTTTTTCTGGAGTTTTGATCTGTTCTTTCATTTGGGGCATGTTTCTTTGTCACTTCATTTTGGCAGCCTCCCTGTGTTTGTTTCTATGTATTAGGTGGAGCTGCTTTGTCTCTATGTCCTGGTAGTATGATCTAATATAGTAGGTGTCCTATAGGGTCCAGTGGCACAGCCTCTCCTATCACTCAAGCTGAATACTCAAGGTATGCCCTTAGTGTGGGCTGAGTTCATCCTCCTCTAGTAGTTGAGCCTCAGTTGCTATTGGAAGATTGATGGGAGGGATTTACTCATATTTTATTACTTGCAGACAACTGCAAGGATTGGCTATGACCACTGACTGCCAACCTCCACCCTCTGTGTAGGATCAGCTATTCAGGGGCAGGGTGGAGTGCTCCAACATGGTCTGTAGATGTCCACTGGGTGTGCTGGCCCTGAAGTTTCCTGAGTGGTGCAGGCCAACATTAGCTACCACCTGTGTTTTGGCCCGGGCCACCCTGCCTGAGTATAAGGCAATCTAAAATGGCTGTTACTTGTGCTGGGCTTGGAGAGTCCCAGGTGAAGCCATGCTGTGAATCTAGACTGGCTGCTGCTAGTGCTAGGCCAGGGGCTCACTGAGGCCAGCTGTTGCTTGTTTTGAGAGTAGTAGTAAGCTGTGAAGCATGAGCCAAGACCAGCCATTCATAAGGAAAAACAGCTTAGATGGGCTTATAAGTTGGGTAGGGCACAGTCTCTGGGGATCTCCTAAGTGGGTCACGTAGTGTTAGCTAGGTTGATGGAGTCTCAGATATGGTACAAGCTTGCCAGCTCTATGGGAAGAGGGTTTAGAAAAGGGGCAATGGCTTCTGCTCACCTTAATGCCAGACACTTCAATTCTTCCTTTGTGCCCCTGGTGCCTCTCAAGCTATTACCCCAGTGCTAGAGCTCAGAGAGAATGAGTCTGAGTAGGTCAGTCCATGTGTAGGTCCTTTAAGAGGAACTTCTTGGGGCTCCAGAAGTTTCTCCCATCAACTCAATCCTTGCTGGGTTTTTGCAGCCAGAAGGTGTGGGGACTTATCTTCCTGGCACTGGAACCCTGGGCTGGGAGGCCTGGTGTGGGGATGGGACTCCTCAGTCCTGACGTATCCCTCCCAAACTTTTATCCATCACGTGTGGGTGAGGGACCAGCCTATTCCACATCTGTGCCCCTTCTATCAGTCTGGATGGATGTGATTTCTTTAATTCCATAGTTGTCAGACTTCCATTCAGCTCGATATCTGACAGTTGTGAGTGATGATTGTTCTACATTTTAGTTGTAGTTTTGATGTGGTTGTGTGAAAAGGTGAGCCATGTCTGCCTATGCTGCCATCTTGACCAGAAGTAACAAATCTTCTTCTAATATAAAATATTAGAATGGAAATTACCAAGAAAAGCATCATATCAAGTACTAGATTTTCATCCATCTATTAATTGGTTCTTTCTATGGTCATTGATTAGTTATTATCTATTTAAATTGTAGTATTAGTTGCCATCTTCTTTATAAGATCATAAACATTTGGAATGAAACTATGCCTAGTCTTCCTTCCATCGGTGGGTCTCTGTCATCTTTAGTGAAGTACAGACATCATAAAATCGAAATCTTGGTATTCTATGTCTATAGCATTTCCCTTTTAACCAGTTTTACAACCCTATTAAAAAGGAAGTTAGGGAGTAAAGGCAGAAGGGTTTTCAGGAACATGTATAAAGGACACATGGACAAAAGGGAGGTGGGATCAAGGGTGGGAAGTGGATATGGCTGGGGTGGGAGTAGTTGTAGGGGGGAAATGGAGACAACTGTACTTGAACAACAATTTTTTTAAAAAGGAAAAAAATAAGGAAGTTAGTCCAGCATGACCAGATTTCAGTGGACCCATCTGGCTCCTAAGGTTCACAATCCATCTCTTTCATAAATTGTGAGAGATTTTTTAAAACTATACTTGGTAAAATTTGCCCCTTTCCCTCATAAATTTGTGCCCACTTCCAAATCAAGTTGTAAGTGGATTAATTAATTGATAATTTGTTGTCTACGGTTAAATCAAATTCTGTACTAGAAACTTGATTGTTGTTGGAGGAATAAACTGGTCCATGTCTTTGGGTAAGTAAGCTTCTCTATCCATAGTTTCAGACTTGAGACTCTTGGGTACCACATCAATCATCTAATATACAATATACTGGGTATCATTCCCAAATGGGAAAAAAATAGGGGCAGGGAGAGGTAAAATTACTTCGCTTACCTGAAGTCAAAGAACTGAACTAAATAATTTTCATTTCCTTCTTGTACTTCTTCCTTCCTCCTTCTATAGTTAAGAAGACTTCACCTTGGGTGAAGTTCAAAACACTTGTCTGGGGCTATTTTAATTTTGCTCCTCCTGTGCTGTGATTCCCTCATGATAGACTTTAGCTTCACTCCTATTCCTATGTGTAAATCTGATTTTTCAGGATAGCAAGATTTAAAAGATAAACTGCATTAATAAATTAGAAAACTGAGTTTCAAAAACACATCAAATTTATTCCATCCAGAGGTTTTGGAAATGCTTGGAAACCTAAAATGAAAAGAAAGCAGTTTCAAAATATGACTCTCACCACAGGAGTGTGTGCAGAAGCAACTCACACAAAAGGGACCCTCTGACCAGCTTTTCTGTCTAAAATGCTCTTCTTGCTTTGGGACTGATCTCAAACTCATTTTCCTGCCCTTGCTTTGTTAAAGGTTCTTAGTAGCCTGGACCATTTCTTTTATTTCTTGTTTGTTTAGGTCTCTGGCTGGTGGCATATGATTCCCTAAATTGGATTATGGTTAAATTGGCTTTTCTCCTCAATCTTTGGTAGCCATCTTCCACCATGAAGAAAAACATTTCCTCTCCTGGCTCAAGTCATTTAATAATGTTCACTCCCAACCAATGAATGCCAGCAATAACTATCTTACTACTGCCTACTGATGGCTCCTATCATTATTAATTCGTCCCACCTTTTAAACCCTTTTTCTACAAATGAACTGACAAAATCAAGTCCCTTTAAATAAAAAACAAAATTGCAGTAAAACTGAGCCTCAGTCTGATCTCAGCCCATTGAATCCATCCAGATGTGCTATAATAGAACTGATTGGGTGATGATTTAGAATAGCCATGTTGACTAAATGTCAGGACTCTGGAATGAATCCCAGTTCTACTCTCAGAGCCCTTGGCAAGCCATTTCTTCTTGCCAAACCTCAGTTCTATAATCTGTATAAAAAGATGGTTTGACCAGAGGGCCCCCTAGGTCCACTTTAGCTCTCCAGTTCTGTGGATCCATGGATCTATTGTAAAGTTGCCCATTATTAACTCATAACCTCTCTGTGTCAGAGCCTGACCCAGCTATTAGCAGTGTAATCACAACTTTGGAGGCAGTGAAAGAATGGGAGTTCTTAAAGACATCAAACCAACTTTCCTTTTTCTCTCTACTATTATCCTTCCAATTCCCTAAATTTTAATGTATTATAGTGAAGCAGCTGCTCTTTTATAGCCTGAATGGCAGTGAGGAGTACTGGAAATGTCATGGCAATGCCTGTCCTCTGTTGATCCAGCCCATATTTACGGATGCAAGAGCTTCAGATAATCATCCCAACTTCTGGGGGTTTGTCTTTGGACTTGGGCCTGTCTTTTAAGCAGGAATAAATGGAGACTTACACTTTCTTGCTGTTTCAAAAAATCTTGGAAACTTTGGGATAAAACCAACCCATAAATGCAAATACCCATGCTCTCTTACACAATACACACTTGTATAGATGTTCATACATATCCTAATGACCATTGGAACAACTACATCATAGGGTAATGCACTCTTCCAAATCATCAGGAGGAAGCCAGTTTTCCAGAATATGAGAATGTCGACTTAAAAGCAGCTAGAAAGATAAAGTCTCCAGGAGGATGCTGACTATTTCCAATGATGGCTTTGGCTAGAGTGGCCCAGTGCATGGTTTTGCCCATGATGTGATTACAAAGTTTAGTCTCTATTTATTGATACATAGCATATTTGAATGGTGGAAAACTTAGGCAAAATGAAGAAGAGATTTACTTGTCACATTTCTTCCAATGTTAACAGCTTTAAATTTTTTTCTGTACAACACGCTATATTTATGAGATAATGAAGGAGTAAGGGTCTGAGGAAATAAAATCAGAAAAGACTTAGCCAAGAGAACAGTAGAGAGCTCTGGCCTTGATGAGACTAAAAAATTTAAAATTCTCAATTCTATTCTACTCTGCAAGCACCAGTTGTTTTTTCAAAAGTTTCCATTCATGGGCTCCAGCCAATCCCCACTTTCTGGAGGACATGGCTGCTTCCCGCTTACCCCCTGCAACACTAACGCTAAAGCAGTTCTTGAGAAGGCAACAAGTTCTCCTTTTCTACCGAAGGATTTTGAAAGCAATCTGGCAAGTTCCAAATGATTCTGATCTCAAATATCTGAAGGGCTGGGCACGGGAAGAATTCAAAAGAAACAAAAATGCCACTGAAGAAGATACAATCCAGATGATGGTTACACAAGGCAACATGCAGCTCAAGGAGTTAGAGAAAACACTTGCTTTAGCAAAAGCTTAATGATGGCATTATTCTGAAAGATTTTCCATCTCCATGTGTTTGGAGGAGCTTAGGCTTAAGGATGGGCAGCCCAAAGTCAACACTCCAGAACATGGAGCATGTCATTGCACAGAGAGCAAAGAAAAGCTGTGTCAGAATAACTACCTTAGCACTGAAAAACATACCTGTATTTTGAAAATGTTTCTGGATTTGTCAGCAGTTTTTGTAAGAAGCAAAACCTAGTACAAAGTATAACAAATGGACAATTAGCACATAAAAAGTTACTCAACACCATTATTCATCAAGGAAATGCAAATCAAAACCTCAGAGAGATACTGCACATCCACCAGAATGGCTATAATTAAACACGGAGATGGTAGCAAGGAATGGTGAAGGTGTGGAGAAATCGGAACCCGCATACAGTGCTGGTGGGAACATAAGGCAGTGCAGCCACTTTGGAAAACAGACTGTCGGTAGCTCAAAAGGGTAAACATAGTTCCCTGATTCAGCAATTTTACGATGAGGTTTGCAACCAAGAGAATTGAAAACACACATACAAATGTTAATAGCAGCATTATTTCATAACAGCCAACAAGTAGAAACAATCCAAATGCCCACCAACTGATAACTGAGTAAAATCTCAGTTATATCTATATAATATAGATATCTATATTGTGGTATATCTATACAATAAAACATTATTCAGCCATAAAAAGTGAAATACTAATACATGCTGCACAGGGATGAAACGTGAAAATATTAAGTTAAAGGAGGCAGTCTTGAAAGATCATATCCTGTATAATTCTCTTCATAGGAAACATGTAGACTGGGAAGAAGGATTAGTGGCTCTGAGTAACTCGTGGAATGGAGAGGAACTCAATAAGGGGTTTTTTTTTCAGGGTGATGAAAATATCCTGAAGGTAGATTTTGGTGTTGGTTGTCCAACGCTACCAATGGTAGTGTGTGAATATACTACCATTGAAATGTATATTTTATATGTATGTGAATTATACCTCAGTAAAGTTGTGTTTCTGGTTTTCAAAAAAAAGTTTCCATTCATTATATTCCAGGGTATGTTGTAATACAAACTTCTAAACAACATGCCAGTTCTATCTCTATTTACACATTCATTCATTCATTCATTCAGTAAATATACTTACCGACTGAGTATTTTGTACAAGGTATTATCTTAAGCATTGTAGAAAGTATAAAGATATGAAAGGCATACCTCTGTCCTTTATGATCTAATTGTCTAGTAGGCAGATACAATAGAAGAACGTATGACTATAATACATCACTCTGCATTGATTATTATGGAATTAATTAAAGAAAAGTCACTTAAAAATACACATTAAGATGTAAACGAATGGAATCTCAGGAAAATAGCATGGGCATAGATGTAGAGGCAAAACATACAAAGCTATTGAAAAAGAGAAAACCACAGGCCCCAAATGGCATTGCTCATGCTGAAAGCTCATGATACTGAACCTAGATTTAATACCTCATGTAATTGAAGTTTCAACCTCTCCCAGAAACAGAATCTTAATCAACTAGTAAGGAATTTTCTGGTTAAGCACCAGCAAAGTAATCTGTCATGGGGGCCTGCTCCATCCCCCTCCCCAAACCCAAAGAAAGACAATCTGCATGATTTAAAAAAAAAACTTGTCATTCACTCCCTGCTCCACCACCCCTCCATCACACAAAAAAGTCCTGGTCTAGAAACAATCTTTCCTTTCCTTTTGTTAATAGCTTCCTTGCTCTACCCTTCTTTCTATAAAAACTTTGTAGAGGACTGGTGTGGTTCAGTTGGTTGGCAGTCTTACTGCAAAGGCAAAGAGAAAGGTCCTGGGTTCGGTGTCTGATCAGGGCTTGGGGTTGGCAGGGCACTGTATGAGAGGCAACTGACACATACTGCTTTCTCCATCTTTCTCCTTCCCTTCCCCCTTTTCTAAAAATAAACAAATAAAATCTTAAAACAAAAACTGCATTTTGTACAACCCCTCAAGTGCCCTTCGACTTGCTGTGGGATGTTGACCAATTCATGAATCACTTAATAAACCTGATTATATCCTCAAAATTAGTTGATTTTTGTTTTTTAATGCTATTTTAGAGGATGACAGAATCAGGGTGGTCGAATATTATAAGAATGGAAGGAGAAAGTCTTGGGAGAGTATGAATATTTTGAGGAAGATTACCAGTGACTTTAAATCTCACACTGACAAATCTGGCCTTTATTTACTAGAAATGAGAAGTCAGTGATGATTTTAAACAGGTGTTGATTTGGGCAGAGTGCTGCTTTCAGAATACCGATCTCAAAGCTAGGGGCAGTACTGATTGAAGTCAAGAGAGCTTGGGGTCATGGTGATCAATTATAAGGCTCTTTCAGTCAATTCAATGCAAGATAATCATGACTTCATTTTGGCTGGTAGAGATAAGAAGGCAAATTAATTAATAACTGCACCAACAGATGTGAAAGAATTAGACAGCATATATATTGAATGAGGAAGCAGGAGGTAGAGAAGACTCTGGCATTTTAAACTGCAATAAGAGAAACCAAATGGCTCCACTGAGGGACAGCCAGTGTATGAGGGATGATATTAACCCAATGTTAAACATTTAAAGAGTTTAAAAATATTTCTCACTGAGCCTGTGAGAAATCTCCCTTTTCAAACTTAGACTTGAATTATGAAGTAGTAAAATCTGGTGATATCTTCCCATTGTTTGTTTATAAATCTATTCTAAATTCCAAACAAAAAGGAAAATAGAAGCACTTCATGTTTACTTTGTCTACTCACCAATAAAACTGATTATCCAACACCCATTCACGTCTATTGCCTTATCCGCATTGCTGACAATAATCGAAACACAGCACAAAATGGGTTCGTGAAGCATCTTTATCCTTGCTTCCACAAGGCTGCAAGTGATAGCTTCAGGATAACCAACAATTGGAGAAAATGCTCCCAGACTGGATTGAAAAGTCATTAGCATCAAGCCCAGAAAAAGACTTTCTATTATCAGTGGTCATGGGAATAAATGACTCCCCAAGGAAATGGTGTGTTTTCTTAATAGTTCACACATTATCCAGGTTACTTCAATCAAGTGGGACAGAGCTAGCAGGGATACAGATTACTGCAATGGTGGCAGAGACAAAGCTTCTATGAAAAAGAAAATTCCAGGTGTGAATGAAGTTAAAGGTTAATTTTTTAAATAGGAAAAAGGAGGGGGCTTACAGCTTGAAATACATTTGCTTATGCTTTTATTCCGTTACAATGCCCGATCTCCTAAAGATGGTAAATGGTAGCGGGGAGGGTGATCTAAAAGCCAGTCTCCAGTCTCTAATCTTGCCTTGTAGTAACCTTTGGGGCAGAGTTCTTAACCCTACATCTTGTGGGAAATAAAGGTATTAGAACAAAACACTAGGAACATGAGAGTTCCTCCTCACTTTTGAGCTATCTTTCAGCAAACAGAGTTCTGTTTATATTGGAAGCATCCATTTCACCTTCTGCTTGGAATCAGCTATAGAGAAGAATCTGCACACCTAGGCAAACTGTGAGTCAAGCATACAGTTCTGGTTTGGCTTCAAATCCTCTGATCAAAACACACTGTGGGGAAAACATGAGCTCTTCACTCAGATGCTGTCAGCCAGTTATGACTCCACTAGCCCCAGAGGAGGAGTGGAACCCACATTTTCTATGGCCTTTCAACAACGTTCAGGGGGGTTTTCCTCCAGCTTTGATAGGTGACATATCTGAGCAAAGACTCATGCCACTTGTAATTAATTAGTATTCATGACAGTAAAGTCCATAATTTAAGAGTTGGTCATTCATTTCACTCATTCAACATGGATAAAGACCCTGGTGTTTAATTACATGAATCACAACTCACACTTGCATCCCAGGTAATGGTGAACAATGAATTCCACAGTCATTGTCAGCTCATACTCACCAGCCAACACTTGAGTTCTCTGTTGATGTTATCCCCAGTAACAGAGAAGGAAACTGAGGATTGGACAGATTAAATGATTGATCCAAGGTCTCACAACTAGCAGGAAGCAAAACAAAGACTTTAACCCAAATCTTCTGAGTCTAAATCCCTTGGATTTTTTCTTATTATCTCACATAGTAATTAGAAGTCATGTGCATTAATTGGTACAAACACCAAATATAAAATCCCACATAATCTCTAATTGTCCCAAATGCATACTCTACACTGGGCAAGTTCCACTTCGGAAAAAATAAGTGAGGCTGTTTTTTGGCATATGCAATAAAAATGCCCAGTTGAGCCACTGAGTTTTTCCACTGTCAGTGGATTTCTTGGCAGTAAGCCATTTATTTAATTCATTCCATATAAAACCAGTATTTACTGAGTGTCTACTTTGTTCTAGACATGATGTTAATTATATGAATTAAGTTCACATTTGCATCTCAGTTGATGGTGAATACATTTTTTTCTTTTATATATAACTTAGGTAAGGTAATTCATGTGAGTTGTAGATGTATTGAGAATGGTGCTTCACCAGTGGAATTGAAAGCAGGCTAGTTGAATAACTATTACGAGGCCCTTGCTTTAAGGCTGCCCTTGAAGGTGTGCTGTGGATTTCCAACATGCTTAATGACTGATCCTTCTGCCAGCATGGAGCCCTGTTGAAAAAGGAATAAGTATTGCCTTTAGACTTGGCACAAGAACCAAATAACTGCCAGGAAATCAATAATGTGGCATCACTCAGAACATGTTGGGTAGACAAGAAATGCTGAACACAGATAGGAATGGAGAACTTTCCCTGGATTTGAAGTCAGAAGATCAGGATTCCAGTTCTGGCTCTTTCCCTTATCAATGGAGAAACCTTGGAAAAATTACTTAACCTGTCTGAGCTTCAGTTTTCTCCTCTGTAGAATGGGGATACTAATAGTACCGATGCAACAAAGAGATTGCAGAAGATAGCCAAAATTCTTTTTCTTCCAGGGAGTGCTAATAGGAAATGTTCAGATAGGCTTAAATCATACTCCAGCTTTTGCTCCCGGTCTCCCATTTGCATGTGACCTTGGAGTTTGGTGAGGGCAGGAGGTCTGGAAAATACTCCCTCCTTTAGCACAGCAACTGACACACTGCTGGTGATGAGTACATTTTTGTTAAACAACAGTGTGCATCGTCCCTTCTCTTCCCTCTATTTGCTTGTTTTTTTACCTCTTCTTACTTATCCCCAGAAG